TCCTTCATGGTGGAGATTTCTTTGGTTGGGGGGATTTAGGTGCTGCTTATGATTCCAAAACATTCGACACGCTCTCTAGATATTTCCAACACGAGCTTCTAGTTTTAGAATGCTTCGAGCATGCCATCACCACTGATAACGGCACGAAGGACTCGTGTTGTCGACTTGTGGTAACGTCGCGACAAGTTTTCAGGAACGTACTCTACGCTCATAATGGCCAATACAGCGATGGCATCATTGGCGTCACGGACAGAGCCTACAAGCTCCATTTCGTTAAGACTATCTAGTTTTGCGATGCGGTGCTGTCCTCAGTATACTTTTATTTAAGTAATGGTGCTGTGTTTGCCAGGTGGATGGACTTTGGTTGATTTCGGGACGTATAGGGTTCATTGTTCCTTTCCTTGCGAGGCTAGACCGCTTCCTATAGCGGGGGAGTTGAGGGCGAGAGCGGAGATGATCGACCGGACAAGCTGCAAACTCCGGCGACTGACACGTGTACTTGGTAGAAATAACTTGATTACTGTATGGGCCAATATACTTCCCGCTACAGCTTCCCAATCTTGAACCGAAGCCACTTGTTCCTGATAAGACAAATTCCACTCTGTTATTTCTTTAAGTCCTAGCGGTCCACTACCTTCTGCCCATCATATAGATGCCCTTTTTATCCCTTCCGTAGCCTGGTCGCGTGGTACTTGCCATGGGTACAAATCAGTTGATGTGTTCACAGTAGATCGACTCCTTGGAAGTAGATCACGTGTCTAAATGATTGCACCATGTCGATCCACTCCGATGATTACGTAATCATCATGGATGATGACGTACTCACTTATGCGCCGCCGTCAACTATGAGCCTCAGAACTGGATCGGGTCACATCCCATCAATCAGTCCCAGAAGCCAACTGTCACTCTACCACATATCATTGAACCTTTCACGAGGACCTCAAAACGACGTGCAACATCAAAGGTTACCAATCATCAAGCCGGTTATGGTGTGAACGAAACTAGGTGAGAACTTTCACATTTTGACATTGACGAACATGATAACTTAATTTCGAGATCACACAGTGCAACACGTGAGGTAAATGGAACTTTTCTTTTCTCTAATGATGATGATTGGATGGATGTGTTTCTTCCACAATTAGTTTGGGGCTACAGCGGCTTGAATAAACTATCTTAATAAAATCATATCTTATTTTGTATCATAACATTATCTACAATATGTTACTAATTATTTATTATTTAGATATTACTATATTGTTATACCTATGCAGCCTACTTAGGTACTGGATCGTCTGCGACTTACACTGGGAATACATGTTTTTAGAGCTTGTACGAGCGGGTCTGGTTGGCTTGCGATTTGCCGTGATCGAGTTTCTTACAATGTTTTTTTAGGTGTCGGGACATTCCTCGGCTAATGAACGTGCTGTTGCCAGGCTTGGCCTCATGGGCCAACAGAAGACAGAAGTCGGGTGTTGCGTCTTATACTATGAAATGACATCAAAATAGCATGCTCCCTGAGAGGCTTATGAAGTACAGTAGTGCAGACGTGCAGAATCTGTACTACATGTACAAGAAGGCTTTCGCAAAATAAAATTTCACTACGTACCGTACAATTCGATCTTGTTTTTGTAAAATATGTATTGAAGGACTGATGAGGGTGACATTTGAGCTTTATGTAGCTCGGTTTGTTCATTCTCAGCGAGATACTTTTATTTAACTTCGACTCCGCTAATAGACAAAAAAGGTCCAGAAAACTAACATTAAAATGGCTAACCTTTTTTTTATACGGTTGTTAGCTTAATTGTCAATAGCAAAGTAAAATTAGAGGCTGGGCAATGTTCGTGGTATCAACCAAAACTGCCAATGCTTAGCTGGTTTTGCGTCTCTTCACATCAGGTTCAAGCTTTATTGGAGGTTCCGTTGCGGTATCAGTTGCAACATTAGCGGATGAAGTAGTGCATGGATCCGTAGGATGAGTAGCAGGCGGACCAGTAGTTGGAGGAGCGGTCGGAGCAGTAGTCATGCCAATGGCTGCGCAATTATCTTTTTCGGTCAAAAGCGACAAGACGGTAGACATTTTCTCAAACTCCAGATCTTTAAATCGCGTCGTGAATTGGCAGCACTCGTTTCGATATAGCATCGATTTTGTGAAGCTCTTGACCTTAAGCTTCTGTCCAAGATGCGGCATTTCGCGAGTAGTGTCGTCGGAAAGCCAATTTGTGCCCGTCACCAGGTCTCCGTGCACGGAGAAGCGGTGAGTGTCATACTTGTCTTCATATTTCTGTAAAATAAGCATTCATCGTTAGCGAATGAGATTTGTCCCGGGGAATTGGTCATTTACGGATGTAAGGGTCTCCGTTGACTCTGAGGCAAATAAAGCCGTCAAGTGGACGCGGATAAGGCGACTACCATCGCGATAAGTATGTATACTATCCCAAATGAATCTTCCGTAGATGAAGACTCCATCGGTGTTCTGCGGCTTCTCAGCCATGTATTCCATGAAAGCTGCATTATCATTATCAGGTTTAAGTAGATCTGCCAGAATAGAAAACGAATCAGTGATACCTTGGCGGGTAGGGATCGCCCTAGGCGTATGTTCTTCGATACTTTCACCGCGTTAATGAAGGGGAGACTTGTAGTTTTTTGGAACTGGAATACCGTCGATTTCCATTCCCGTTGTCTCTTTCAGCTTGGTTCTTTGAGAGCAAATTGAATTGTGAGTGAGAGTTTTCATTTGAAAAGATGTGTCAATATTCTAACGGCAGCGTTGAGAGTTCTTAAGAAAATTCATGGGAAATACGTGTTGAACTTCTAAAAAGCGGTGGGATCAGCCTCTACCCAACGGTTTTACCATTCGAGTGTAACATAAATGCAGTTTGAGCCACTATAGTAAATTAAAGTTCTCGTTTACTTGTTATGGTTGTTGGGGTACCAGTAGCCGTCATATCCTACGTCCATGCGCCACTTGGTGACGTATGCATTGGGTTGCAACTGTTTTAAAACGCTTTTCTTGAATGCTGCTGAGAGAAGAAGGCATCGTAGATGACGAGCTAATCTTACTCTTGATGTGCCAACGTATAGATGATCATACAGCCATTTAGGAGCTCCAGGGGTTCCTTCTAGAAAAGCAAAACTCTTCGAAGCGTAGCTCCTTGTGCTTTCCACACGGTCATTACCAGTGCGAGTTCAACTGCGAGTTGGGATTTCTTCACCTCGATTGGTTTCGGTAAGAGTGCACGTGCCAACTTGATGCCGTACTTCAACTGTTTATTCGCCACTAGTCCAATGGGTATGATGATGCTTTTCTTGTGCAACTGCCGGCCTGAAGAATTGAGTTCCCAGTTTGTCTCCAAATTATTTTCTGGTGGCCACGATGTAGCGGGAATCACCTCTCCATTTGGCCTAGTTAACGTGGCATTAATAAAGTCTGGGGGCATTTGGAAGATCAATCACGTCTCCCGATTGAGCCGAAAGGTTTTCCAAGTAATTACGTATGTGATCCGTTTGTTCGTCATTTGACCAGGCAAGTGATACCAGTTTGCACATCGTTCCATTTGCAACTCCCCATTCTACATTGCCATTGCCATTGTCTAGAATTTGAGCTGGTCCACTCGAACAAAATAGCCGAACAAGTTCGGATAATCTTTGGAATCATAAAGTAAGTCTAGCAGCACTTTCGGAAAGTGTGTTACCGGCTCCTTCCTACGAAATACGACGGTGTCTGTACGGCTAGCCAACAACTTAGCCTCACAAGCAGTCAGTGCAGCCTTATCAATATTGCTTGTTACTAAGACGGTCGCTTCATCCAACCATGCCGGATCTTCCACAACTTCGGTTGCAGTGAGCTCAGTTATCACAGCATCAATCAGTTTATCACTTAGTTGTTGACATCCGCTAGAACTGGAGCCATCAGGATAGGTAAGTGGTAAAGTCCGAAAAGCGTCCAGGATTTTCTGCTGTTGTGGACAATCATGGGCTCTTTGCTGGGAATTGAGAAAGAAAACGCGAAAGCGTCTCATGAGATCCCGTTCTTCAATAAGAATTGCGTTCTGGTTCAGCTTGTACAACGCACAGCACAGTGGTGTTCCCATAAGTGCCTCTAGCTGGAGAAAATCGCCTGCCTGATACATTCAACAGTACGTACACACTCAGTAAAATGCATTTCAGATTTGAAGTAACACCAATGTACATACCCACAGAATCGATTTACCTCCAAACGGCATGTCAGGATCGTAAACCACTCGCAATCGTTTGTCAATCTTGACAGCAAACTCACTCCCCAACATGGATACTTCATCTATGACGATGAGACCAACAGTATTGTCAAAAGTGCGTCGCAGTTCGGCTAGTTTAGAGGGTGAAAGATGGTCGCCTTCTTGGCCACTTTTAAAAGCAGAATGACAGGTTTGCCCGCCTGGGAATTGGCTAATACCAGCTTCGGTTGGGCAGGTAACAATCAATTTCAATCCACGATTGAGCAATTCGTCGCGTAGCTTGTGAATCACAAAAGATTTTCCTGTGCCGGCTCCTCCGTGCATCAAAGTAAGTGTTTGGGCTGGATTGGGTTTGTCCAAATTTGATAGTATCCAATCGATAATGGCTTGTTGCTCCGTTGATGCGACAACACCGTTTACAAACCTAGATGTGTGGCTTTCAAAGGAGTCACGAATTGCTCTTACTTCAGAACTTGGCAATGTATCGGGGTACACACCACAAACTCGACTATTCAAAGACATTTTCCGAATACGATGAGCCATGGCTTGGAGACAAGGTTTTGTATCTGGCATCCCGCTTATGCCACTGCAATTATGCTGGTATACACTGGATTGTAGCTTCGGCGAATGTACTACGTTGTTCACCACCCCGATTTGCATGTTGTCGTATCGACTCCCATAACGGACCGAAAATTTGAGTGCATTGCTTCAACACTAGTACGACAAGAAGGATTGCCTAGCGCAGCAGCTCTTGTCAACCAATACAGGTCATCTTCTCCACCAGATAGTGCGCCATCGGCTTCTAGATCGCAATTTCCACGGTCACTTTGCGCGCTACTGTTCCGGCAAGTACTATCACCACAATGGCTGTCTTTCCACCTGGTCGCATTTCGAGCTCTCCAGTCTAAGCATAACGTTTCGTTTTCATTGCTCCGGATACACTTTTGTAAGAGATTGTGCACTTGACGATACCTTTGTCTTGAGACAAAAGCCGCAGTGGAGCAATCCCAGAGTGTACACAAAGTGGCTAAGCTCGATTTATCCAGTTTGAATGCAGGTTTCTGGTTGAAATTCCAGGGAACAAATGCAGATAGTATATACCTGGCCAATTTATCCATATTTTTGCTGTCGCAGCTTTTACAAAAGCAGAATGAGGCGGGGTCCTCCAAACATCGATGCTTGCATTTTGGCTCGGATAACGGCTTCGTAATGATTAAAAAGTGGATGGCCTGGATCCACATCGAAGCCTTTACGGACCTTGCGACCTCGCTGAGATTTACCGGTCCTTGGGACCTTCCGAGGTACAATATCCACAATACAGGCAAATTTTAACGGGGTCACACAGCACCTTGTGCAGTGGAAGTTTATTTCCTCTAGAGTATACAAACTCTAAGTGAACGACCGTTCACGTGTCCCTGGTCTGAAGGGGACGAAGTACTCACTTGAGGGAACGATTAAGACTGA